CTCTCTCTCTCTCTCTCTCTCTCTCTCTCTCTCTTTTTTATAAAATTATAAAAAATATTAGGAGGAGGTTTTGAGAAATCGCGCTCCAAAGCATATTTGCTGAGGGCAGGTTAGAGCTGGTACAAGTAAAACAGAAAAGGATATTGTTGTTAAAAAGGAAAAAGAAGAAGCATTAGTTGGTCTTTCCAAAGAAATCATAATGAGGTACAATTGGAGATTATGGAGTCCATCTATTTCACACTCTCTCCCTGTATGAAAATTTATTTAAAGACCCCTTCTTGGATGTGTTGGTGTATATTCATTAACTTTTAAAAAACAAAAAACTACTACAGATTGGGTATAAAGAATTTTAACGATTTTTGTAGAGGTTAAAACCTTTATATGATATCTCAATAGGGGCAAGCAAAGTAGGAATTTTGCTCCATCCACAGCACCATTTGGGATGAGTACAGAAAAGGTAACATTTTATGAATATTAGAGAGGGTGGAATAAGCCCACTAAGTTCCACTGTGAACCTGCCCAACACCTTTTTATATCTACTGATATGATATCACACCTCTCCCCTGACCTCTAGGAAAGAGTAACCAAGGGCAACAACACCAAGCCATTTATCAAACCAAAAAGAGGTATGGGTACCTCTTGTCACAGTTTTCCTGCACTGTGTGAGATAAATAGGGCTACAATGATCTATATTCTTTGCTCTATCATTACTGTCCCATAAGAATGCTCTCATCATTTCATTTAAAAGTTCCAACATTTCTAAAATGCCATTTGCTTGCATTTGTAGATGGAAAGCATTAAAAATGCATAAAGCTGTAGAAATCCATTCGTTTTTCATGCGACTTTTCAATCAACACTGTCCTTTTCTATTAGTAAGTATGAAATTCACTTGATGTCGAACTTCTTGATCGGTTCGCTGAGCTGAAGTTACAGAAAATTACCAACCATTACAAAGAACAGAAAAAAGACTCAAAACAACAACATGCCGATACAATTTAGTTCAACGGTGAAAAAGAATTACCTCAACATACAACAATACCAAAAGAAAAGAAAAGAAAATAAGTATTTGAGTGTCTTATGCTTCCCAGCCTCTCAAAAGAGTTGCACGGGCTACTCGGTTCACCCCAAGTGTGAAGGCTCCCATTCGGAGATTGCAGTTATGGGTTTCGCACATTTCTTTCATGGTTGCAAAAGAGTTCTTCATGTACTTTTGAAGCTCTCTATTCACCTTCTTTTCATCCCACATGAATCCTTGGATGTTCTGCACATATACTCGAAAGCAAAATTAGATTCTACTCATTCAAACACGAGAGAATGTAGGTAGCAGAAAGGCAAAAGATATAAAGGAAATAATGAAAGAAGTTTTCTTTTTTTCTATATAAATATTTTTCAATTTATACCTGAACCCACTCAAAGTAACTCACTATCACACCTCCAGCATTTGCATATATGTCAGGAAGTATCACAACCCCTTTCTTGTGTAAAATCTGCAATGAAAAGCATCAGATGAGCAGTGGATGTAGTAGGTACGTGATTGGAAATATAATGATCCAATGGTGTATGGTAAATGATATTCCACAGGGGCATCTACTGTTCATTCCCAATAGCCAACAGTAGAAAACAGCTATATGCATGTCCCTGTGGGATCCACTCCAGTTAATCTCCACCATCCTAACAGTTGGAGCTGATAGAATGTAGCCTGCAGCCTAAGAGTACTATCTCTTATTCCATTAGACTATAGTAAACTCTCTAATTGATATTTTCCAATTCATGCTGCCTACCTCATCGGCTTCAGGATCTGTTGGATGGTTTGCTGCCTCAATTATGAACTTGGTCTTCACATCACTCGCATTTTCCCTTTTAAAATGGAAGGCAGTTGTCAATGTTTATTATCATTCTGCAGGCTAAAAAGTCACTACAGCACTGAGAATATAGTTCCCCTATTTGTCCTTTAAATAAAAATGACAGTCGTGAATGTTACTTATCCTCAACAGAACAAGCAAAGATGAAAATACTGTCCATCAACATAAAACTTTTGAAGAAACTAGCTAAATCTTGCGTCTAGAAATCATGTCATGAGTCCCCAGGAGTAATCGAACGTAGACAAAACTTTCTCAAAAGATTGAAAACAAATGATAGCTTGGTCAAGCCAACCAAGTAAAAATGCTAAGCTAAATAAACCGTGTTACAAAAAAACAACCAGCTCAAACTGGATTATCACATGTCTCCAAATTTAGCAGTACCACTTACAATTTACAATAAACAATCAGTTAGTACAGTTAGTATAATTATTATTATTCCAGAAGCATGTGTGCTCACTTTTGCAACGTTAGTCACGACAAGAAATCAAAGGAATAATTACTGTAAATGTATGCCAGATCAGTAGACCAAACAAGAAGGTTCTGATTAAATAAAGAACAGAAGGATTATTTCCATCAGTAATGCAAGCAAGGAAATCTGGATCAGGATATGGGATAGAACCTGTTGAGCACTGCACCCAAAGCACATGGAATGAGCACATCACATTCCTGAAGAAGCAGTTCATTCATATCAACCGGATCCCCACCATTGAAATCTTTAATACTTCCACTCGCGCTTTTATGCTTTTGCAAAGCTGGAATATCAATCCCATTGGGATTTCTTATGGCCCCAGTAATGTCACCCACTGCCACAACTTTCCCTCCTATCTCATGAATAAGTTGTGCCGCCCAAGAACCCACATTCCCAAAACCCTGCTAAAATTCCAATTTGTCAAAACAAGATATAGTGGAATCTTCAATTCGCTAAAATGATTTATATAAAATTTCTATTCAATAAAATAAGAGGTTGGCAACACAAGCAGAAATGACATGCCTGAATAACAAAGGTTAATCCTGAAATAGATTTTCCATATTCAGCCAAAAGAGCTTCCATGGCAAATACCACTCCTCGTCCAGTAGCTGCATCCCTACCAAGTGATCCTCCAAGATCCTATTGCATCAATAGGGATTGTAAGAAACCTTTTCATTTGTTTTCCTTTATTAAGCAACCCATACCTTTGATAAGTTTTATAAATGGAAAGAGATACTATACTTTAATCAAATGGATTATGGAAAACCACAGTATTATTGGATCATTATACACAATGAAATGGCGACAATAGAAAGGAAAGGGACCCATTGGAAAATGACTCTGATGACTGGTGGGGCCCAAACACAGGATGATATCCCCAATGTCCTATCGTTTTCCAATCCATAGATTTATAACCAATTTATAATAGGGAAATTTATCTAATTACCCATGAGAGTTGAAGTATTTAACATCCTACCCGTATCTTTTCATTTAATTTCAAATTACCCATCAAACGACACAAGATCATGATTTGGAATAGTTGCAAATGGGTAAAATGTTAAATACTTCAACTCTTTTTAATATTTTGAGAAATTTCCATTTATAATATCCTTTCAAGTATAGAGAAGTTACGAGTTGCAATTTGAGAGTAAAAAGAAGGGACTTAAAAGTGCACATACTAACGGCTTCCCGGTTACAATTGCTGGTGAATGACCATGAAATTTTGAGTATTCATCCAATATCCATGCCATAATCTGTCCAAATTCAGCAAAAACTAAAATTTATAACTCATAAATCATTAGTTTCCCATCAGTAAATCAGTTAATCTAGTAAAAATGCATTTACTGTGAACCAACAACTGAATAAGTAACTAAGAGAAGTAACCCATTTACCTGAGAATTAGTTCCCATATCAGGAGCAGGGACATCAGTGTTAATTCCAATTAAATCGTGGATTTTTTGAGTAAATACACGGGTAAGCCTCTCCAACTCACTTGTGGTTAAATCCTTAGGGTTGCAACCAATGCCACCTTTTGCTCCTCCATAAGGAACATTAGCCACAGCTGTCTTCCATGTCATAAGCTGGGCTAAAGCATTGACCTCATCTGGATCAACCTGTAACATTCATCACAGTCACGGCTTATTAATAAAGCTTGATCAGTTGGAAGGAAAAGCTCATTATCTTGAAAAAAAAAGAAGCAAACGGAAATAAAATTTAGAATGTCCATTTGGCAATGCATTGAATAGATGGATTTCAATTCCACAAGCTTGAGGTAACTGCTCCTGTGAGGCTCTCTCTCGAATTTCTTTATCACATCACTACTCTTGCCTCAAATATCTGATCTGAAAGGTGGATTCCCATGCCTCTAGAGGATCATTAATTTCATAGAGAGTTTAGTAACTAGTGTCAATTCTTTCCTTCGGAACAAGGACCGAAATACTAGAAATCAATTGGAGTATTGAATATAATATTTCCTAAGTTAATTTTCATACTTATTCTTAAATGTCCTGAGTCATGATCCTACTCTTGTTTATTGTGACATAACTAATTACTAGATTTCCTTCATATTTCTAATTTTAGAATGTTTTTTTCTTTCACTTGTATGATTTATATGATTTCTCATATATATCTTTATACCTATTACACATAGAAGAAACACTTGGACAGAATTTGGTGACTTGACCAATTATAATTGAACAATACAACATATTTCTCACGGCTATAACCAGGCTTAATATTACCTCACTCTGTGATCCACGTTCCCTTCATAAATGGTTTGTACTTGTTAGACTCTCTAAAGATGAAACTAAGTCTTCCAAGGCTTTGCCTTCGTATTTTAACAACTTTTCAAGTTTTTGAGACTTAGTGATGCTCAAACTTGGTCCTAACTGGGACAGAGCAACTTAGTAAGCTCGCCTGAGTTATTCATTTTTGGGGGAGAACTCCACAAGTTTGTCAATTTTGTAAAAAGAGGTTTTGTTCTAGCTCTAGATTTTGAACTTGGGACCCAGTCCAACGGGGGATACATAATAAGACAGATGCCCACAATGTGTTTTAGTATGAACTTTGATATATTGAATTTAAAAAGCTGATGAACTCAGCTCAAATATGAGTTCCTCGTAACAAAACTCATTCATGTAACATAATGAGCCGTCTCAAGCTAGTAAACTCGACTTGCATCAAGTTTTTGAGCACTGCTTAACAAACATTGCGGTAGTATCACCTCTGTTTCAATGATTCAATCACCAAACTGTCAGGTGAAAAGTCCTGTATTTCCCATATCTTAAATGGGGAAAGCTGTGCAAGATTCTTAAATACTAGCCAGTAAGCAACATTTGGCATCATTTCATTTAAAAGCCATAAGTGAATAACATGATCATTTCTCACACATTATTAATAGTAACTTTCTTCAAAAATTCCCACAGACATCAAAGGAGTCTATTAGAAGTGAGCACAATGTGCATGTATCAATGTAAAACAAAATTCAAACCTATGAAAGTATAATTTCAAAAGAACCATTCCCTGACATAAGATTCTCTCAGACAGTTGCCACAACATGACATGAAAAACAGGTTCAGAATTACAGAAAAAAAGAAGAAAGTCAAAGAACCACGCAACTACAGCAAAATTATACGCAGCAAACAAATACGTACTAAAAACAAACCTCTGGATGATAACGAATCCCACCCTTCATGGGTCCACGAGCGTTGTCATGTTGAACTCGGAAACCCACATAGGAAACCAAAGACCCGTCGTCTTTGGGAATTGTGCATTCAACCTGACGACCCAATTCCAAAATGAATAAGATCCACCCATGCAAAAGAAAAAAGATAAAAATAAATGGCACATCAAAAGGAAATGGAGGAGATGAGAACTCTGTCATGTCAGGTCCCCTGATTTTCTTTTCTTTTTTTTATGACATTTCAAAATAGAGAAAAAGAAAGAGCACCGATTCAGACGTCCATACAATGAAATTCTGAAGTCATGTGCTTTCAAAGAATCCATCAAAATTGGAAATTCAAGCACCAACATAAGTAAGGAGAACGCCAATTTCTTCAATTGATTTATGAAACGCATTAGAGGAGGCAGAAAATTTTATTCCTTTTTAACTTGTGGATAAATAATTCAATTATTTTCACAAGTATCATAAGAGGCAAAATAAGAACGGCAAAATTCAATAGGAGGACATAGATTGATTGCCTATGCTCTTCTTTTCTAAAAAAAAATTGAACCAACCTGAAAAAATATTATTTTTGAAAATTAGAATAAAAGAAATTCCAGTCCTTTCAAGGCCACTTTTGAGTTTAGTCCTTAAAAGGTGAAGATTAGATGAATGAATAGAGTCAATAGACAATATGGCTAATCTCTCTCTAAGATTTCTAAAAGAACTCTTTCTCTCTGAAAGATTGAAAAATACCAACATGGTCTCTCTACTGAGATTAAAAAAAGACTCACATGGGTATTCTTCTCTCTCTAATCGATCAAAAAGACCACCGTGCTCTCTCTCTCTCTCTCTCTCTCTCTCTCTCTCTCTCTCTCTCTCTCTACTACTCTCTCTACTACTACTACTACTACTACTACTACTACTACTACGTAC